CCGGCCGAGGAGGAACTCGTGAAGCCGAGCCGAGCGGAGGATCGCAGGCGAGACGAATCCAGGGCTTTTTCCTCCTCGACTCGTGCACGCGTGCCGCCGTCCATACACGGCCGGTACACGCGCGCGTCCAGCCGGGAAGACGCACACTCGCCTCAACAAACGAGTTCGATACGCGAGATGCTCTTCGTCGAAAGAAAGTCAATTACTGTACGCGCGCACGTTCTCGGCCGTACTCGCTCGCGATACGCCGCCGATCCGCCTGGCTGCTTATCCGCTCGCTAGCCAGCGCCGAGAGCCCAAGTCCGAACCTTCCTTCGCTTTTGCCTACGATTTCAGCTTCGGCTTCGGTCTCGCTCGAGTTTGCGCTCGGCTCCGCTCGGTTCCGCTCGGTCCGACTCGGTTCCGCTTCGCGCGCCACCGCTCGTCACCGCTTGTCACCGCTTGCGATCTCTGCTCGACAACGCTGCTCGTCTATCTCCCAGAATTCTTTACAACTATTTTCCTACCAAACCTCTCCTCTCCTCTCCTTTCCGCTTCGCTCCTCTCCGCTTCTCTCCTCTCCTCACCGCTTCAGTTTCTTTCCTTTCCTTTGTTCTTTTATTTTCCTAACTACTATCGTCTCGTTTTCTATTATTACTCAATTTTTTACCTTCAGCCTCAAATCCTAATATGCATTTAATACTCGAATTCGAACTTTGCCCTGTTCTGTCCTGTCTCCTTGACACTGTCGCGAATTCACCGAGATTCCTGTTTCATCTATAAAATTTTCCGTATCAATTTCCTATCGAATCTTTCTTCGCTTCACTGATTCGGAAATAATCGTACGTTCTACGAATGTGTTTCTGCGTTCGTTAACACGTTGCATTTCAATTGATTTTATCGTTTCCTCTTTAGATTATACATTGTCCTAATAAGATGATGTATCTAAGAAATCGAAGGAATTTTCGTTAATACATGGCTCGTTATATTACAGTTATACAAGTATGATTCGTTTTCCGATTGATGTTAGTCCGAAAAGCTATTTGACAATTGCACGTTTTGGTGCGTGTATTTGTCACTAAATAAGCGTCTTGCGCTCTCGGTTCGGTATTTGTCGGCACGGATCGTCCCGGCTCGGCTCGACTCGGCCCGACTCGGATTCACTACGCCGCGATACAACGCGATACGACGCGATGCGACGTTCACGTTCGCCTTTTGGCCTCTTACTCATCGGTAACGCCTGCCGCTTGCGACTCCTGCCATCGCCATAAACTCTGTCGTAATCGCATTGCACGGCATCGTTTTGCTCGGCTTTGCTCGGCTTTGCTCGTTGTTACTTGATTCGATTTATTTAATTCATTTGGCTCGACTCGACTCGACTCGATTCCCTATGATTCGACTAATCTCTTCCCTATTTCGTTCGATTCAATTCGAGTACTTACATCTGTATTCAGAAACGATATATCAATCACACTTATATGATAATCTTTTTCGTATAGTTATTTATTAAGCGCGAAGGCTTACTCAAATCTGTTTGTGAAATGACAGAATGAATTTGTTATTAAAATATATAAGTGTAGTCTCTTATTATTATTATACGGTATTATACGTCTTCTTGAGGAGAAACTGTTTTTTCTTAATTGTGATTCGCAATAAAAAAATTAGATAAATTTGTTGGAAATACAAGTACACCTTTAACCACTGTCTGGACTGAATGTATCGTTCCAAATTGAAATTACGAACGGATATATGCATTATACTTGATTGTATACAATCGTGAATGAGTTACAATTTTGCTTATGAAGCAAAATGAAAATTCATCATTTTGAACTTTTTCAAAAAGCATCACCAAGTAATTTTTTAACAAAATTGTACTAAGTATTACACAATAAACTAGATAAAATCAGAGAAAGGTACTAGGTAGCGTCAAATGTCGGTTTCGAATAGACGTTCTGGTTACGGAATCTTTTCGTTGATTTTGTCAACGTATTCTTGCACTACTTTCGCAAATTCTTTCTTCACCATATTTGTTATGCTTGTACGAAATATAGTAGTAATAGCTTTGGCCGCAATATTAACTACCGGATCACCTGTATTACATTGAAAAATGACGTTGAACTTGCTGAAAACAAAGTAAAGATTAATCGATTAGAACTAATTCAATATGCTCTAAAAACTGTGCACCACTTTCAAAACGATGGGCAGTTGTGCTAACGCAACAACAAATAACAATTACTCGATTTTAACGATCTTGGCCATTAGGGAGGAAAATTGTATAATAAATCCTCCAATTTCATAGGATCTATTCCATGCTTCAAAATAAAATTGTGAATCGTGGGTAACATCGTGTCGAACAACTTTTTAACTTTAGCCGATACCTTCTTAAGCCTGATGTCATTTTCCCTGTGCCGTAAAAAAAGATATATTTTAGAAGCAGTTGATTCTCCTCAAAGTATTCGACATTTCGCGGATGACAAATACAAATACACGATATTTCAGAGTGAGAATTGTTAAGGTAAAGAAAGGATTCGGAAATACAAATCGTTTACTTTATTTTACACACAACAGCTATACATATATCTTACACTCTGAAGACCTCGACAACCTTCTTGCACGCACGCTTGTTCTCAAGCGACTCTTCCAGATTCTTCTAACATCTGGCGAGTCTTTTGTCTCAACTAAGCCCTGGACGCCCCCTAACGCTTACACACACATTCGCATGTACAGTGTAAACGTATCATCTACCCAACAAGAATATGTATTACCAAAACTGATCATACGATCTAAATGTATATATGTATTTATTAACGATAAATATGTAGTGGCAATAACTTACGTGTTATCGACAAAGCTCGAAAAGCTAGCAGTAAACAAAATAGAAAAAGGAAATAGAAAACCAAGTAGAATTTGATAAATCATGATGAATCGATGCAGTCGAATGATCAATTGTCAACAATCTGGCTGCCGCTCATCAATCTTCTCTAGTTTTATTATCTAAAGTCTTATCGAATTATCGACATTATCGAGTTATCTAAAGACTTATCGAATTATATCGACATTACAACCATCATTAAAGAATTTGATCGAGCAACGGTATAGATTATTGCAACGAATACGTTGATGAATTATACAGAATTTGGACTAAAAGGAATTTAAAATCGTCGTCGACCGCATACCCTTTGAGTTTGAATTATCATCACGAAATTTCTTGCTTATCCTTGAGGTATTCTCGAATGTACGTCGCTGCACGCTCGTTCTTCGATGTTTTCGACCAACTTATTTTTCACAAAGTGAGTCACGCCGATGTTGATAGACGTCGTTAAACGATCCACCAAAGTACTCTTACTCTTCTCACGAAAAATTCTACTGGACCCGGAAGACGAAATTACCAGATATAGCATCTTAGATCTATAGATCTAGACGATCTTTTCGTCTCTTCCTTATCGGGAAAATAGCAGTTGATAACATGAAGATCAATGGCAATGTTAACGCTGACCGAATTTGTCTCTGCAAATATCTCCTCGCGCTGCTAAATAAGGAGTAGTTGCTGGAAATAATGGAATATTGCTTAAGACATCGTAAAACATGTTTTTTATCCGATCGAGAAGAATGTTGTTATTAACTATGATTATAAAAATGTGGTCAAACGTAACGTTCGCATCGATACTGAACGTTTCATCTTTGTATACGGCGGTAATGGTAGCAGCACGTTCTATTCTTGATAAGTTGTGTAATATACCCGAAGAAAAGAAGGAATGGGCTATGTCGATGTAGACGATAAAGGGAAATAGAGAATACTGAAAAGGAAGGACAAATCTTTTCAATTGATTTCGAATGTATTCCTTTCTTCTTTTTCTCCTTTTTCTCCCTTCTTGTTCTCCTTTTAGGTTATGAATCCGATTATTGACCATTATAGTTACTACTCTGCTGTTACGCGATTACTGCAGCAGCGAGTGTCCATGAGGATTTCTCCGCGTACAGAAAAAAAAAAAAAAAAAAGAAAGATCGAAAATACACCATGCCAGATCGAATTCTCGAAACGAAACGCAGACGATCACGATCTCGTCACAAAGCCACTTTCGATTTCCCTCGAGACACAAAGAAGCAAAGTTTGGCATCATTCGGGAAACAAATAAACTGTGGACCAAACTCTTCCGATTTACCGTTGTTTTTGTTTAGTTTCCGAATTATAAATATTCAAGTGTGCACTTATTTTGTAAATTCGCTTTCACTTGGAAGGAATGCGAGTCTAAATTGAAATGGAAGAAACAAATGGAAGAAACATGGCCTTTCTCACGCATACTATTTGCTGAGACTGTCATACGTATTAAACCGATCGTATAATAAGAAAAGACCTCCTTTGCCGTTGTGATGTCCCAAATAAAATTTTCACAACTACATTCGAAAGCGTATGTTCCAGAGAAATGGGCGTGGTTAAGATAACACATGAGTCACAGTATCTGGACTTCTTAGCCGCTAACGTACAGTATAACTCGAGTGCTCGCACAAGACAGTTTACACTTTGTTCTTTTTGCGCCAGTAAAGCCAGTTTTCTTTCCATTTCCCAATATTTTCTGAAAGTATACGCATGTAAGTACAATACGTTCGAAGAAATCGAATACAACATTGACACCGCACATATATATGTCGAGTGAGCGTCCGAATCTGAGCCCGAGTCGTCCTCGTGGCGGGGGCTTGGGGCAGATAAGGATTCTTCGCTGAAGCTATCCATGTTTTTTTTTTTACACTGAAGTTATTTTTATTGACACACAGAATCGTTACGGAGTTGACGCAAACTCACGATGATCACACACTCGCGACGCTGGTGACGATGGTCTTAGGTTCGATAACGAATCCGCGGACAACGGGACGGTAGTCGTACGCACTCGCAAAAATCTAAGTCGGATTCTGTGTTAATATTCACTGACCGTAAGGCGTTAATCTTTTTTTCTCGACGAGATCGCAAGAGCGAATGACTTTCCGTCCCGGTGACACCGCAGAGGAAAACTATGACGGGGTGTGTCTAAGGACACGAGATCATCGGATTCGTCGGGGATATCACACGTTCGGAAAGTAAGGGAAATTGACGTTGCTGCTAATTAGCCAATCTTCGTATCGGTAGTTAGAAAAGGATGCTAGCCGCTCTTGAACGCACTCGCAAAATCTAAGTCGGATTCTGTGTTAATATTCACTGACCGTAAGGCGTTAATCTTTTTTTCTCGACGAGATCGCAAGAGCGAATGACTTTCCGTCCCGGTGACACCGCAGAGGAAAACTATGACGGGGTGTGTCTAAGGACACGAGATCATCGGATTCGTCGGGGATATCACACGTTCGGAAAGTAAGGGAAATTGACGTTGCTGCTAATTAGCCAATCTTCGTATCGGTAGTTAGAAAAGGATGCTAGCCGCTCTTGAGAGAAGGTTGCTAGTGGGAGACGTCGTTCGTGGAAAAATAGGTCTCTCCTGTCTTCCTGTAACTGGCACAAAGACTGTTTATCTGTCGAAGGATTTTAGGTAACTAGATATTAGTATTTATGAGGGTCCTCGGGCTAGCCGATCACGTACTGCGGAGACGCGTCGGCATCTGGTAAACATCCTGCCCGGAGAATAGGATCTGCGTGTGGCNCTGCGTGTGGCGAGCTACGGGACAGAAACCGTTGGAATGTTTACTGCCACGTGCCGCTACAAATCTTTCTTTTAAGGAGAGCTATAGGGTTACTCAATGCCTTTGTTAGATGGAGAGTTCGTGCCGTTGACCGCGGCTACGTTCGGCGACTAATTGTCGCCTTGAGCCCAAGCTCATTGTCACAAGTCTCAAACAAATACAATTGGGTAGAATGATGGCAAATTGTTTAATTACAATGTTTCTATGGATTTTCCCGAGGGTTCGGAGGGAAGGCACCGGTGTCCTCTTATCTCCGACATATATATGTATATGAAACCTCGGGAGGATCCATAGGGGCATTGTAGTTGGAGTCTACAGTTGTAGACATACATACTGTAATGGTAGCTTTTTTGTTAATATAGGAAAAAGTTACTCAAAATGTTATACACATATTCAAAAATCATTAGATATCCATAGAAATTATCATTCATAGAAATATTCGTAGAAATCATGGAAATAATTATGAATTATTATTTATGATTGCCCGACTGAATTCAGAGACGACTATATGTAGTACAATGTATGGACATGTACGTGAATACTTACGTATAAATGAAAGAAGGCACTCGCCTAGATACACGTTTTGCACGCAACCTCATCGTTTCTTTGTCTAATTTAATAAAGTTAAGATCCATTTCTTTTTTTTCAAAATAGTTCGCTCATGACCGATAGAGCGACTTAATAAAATAATTTCTCGCACTGGAAAACATTTTATTGCGCACGATGTCTACGAGCATGTACCTACTAAACTCGGCAATGATCTAAACTATAAATCGATATTCGATTATTTCATCGATTCTTCAAAGTCATCTAACTATATTTAAAACATGATGCAACCTTATCGATAACTATTCACAGAGCTGCTGCTATTTTGGGCTATTTTGGATATTTGTTGCAAAAAATTGTCTGTACCACAGAGTGAATTGTGCCTGCAATTGTGCATCCGTGACAGTGTGACATCAATCACATCTCAGTCCACATCAGAGATAGGATATGGACCCCCGATCTTCGGACACCTTTCTACATCATAACCTACATCATAACCTCAACATCCTAAAACCAAAACGTATATAATCCGAGACTTCACCCAGCTCGAGCAATACTTGTTCTCGTTCTAGTTGCTGTTCTTGTACAACACCCGTTTCTCTGTTCAACGTTATTCTACTGTAAGTGGCAAAGTCATAATAAAGTTCGATAAAAGAGAATTAATAGTTGGGCTACGACTCAGCTTTCTTTTCTCTCGCAACCCAAGTATCCATTTTACGTGACAACAGCGTATGCGTTAGCATTGTTTTGCAACCGCCTTATGGCAGCCTGATATTCAACCCAGATCTAATTCTTGTCTTTTGTTAAATTCACACATATATCACAGAGCTTAATCAAAGCTATAAAACGTTAGTTTCCTTCAAAACTTAATTTAAAAAGATTGTATCTAGGTATAATTAAATTAGTAAACGAGTGTTGCATCTTTTTGCTTGCAGATTTAGCAAGAGCATTTAAAGGACGCGGAATTCTCAGGGGATATTGCTCTATTTCTTATTTATTCTTATATTATTATTATTTATTATTATTCTTATGAACGATGCAAAAACTGCCAAATGAGCCGCACGAGCACAAGGCGGGCCAAACAAACCAGCAGCCACAGCCACAACATTCTACACAAGTAGATAGCGATAGTATTTCTCCGGATCCTGACAAAAAGGAGACATATGAGCGCCTAGAAATATTTATAAAGACATTTGTTATCAGATTTATAAAAACATTAAACCAATACAGAAACGAGATATCATCAAAAAATAATACAACGGCAGAAAATGCAGCAGGGGAAACAGCTGCAAAAGCGATAGAGCAGATCTCTCTGTGGGCATCAATTGCAGTGTACCCACTCGTTGTTGCTGCAAAATATTTCAGTAATAGAATTCATAGAAAAAAAGCTAAGACAGTTGTTGAAGTGTTTAGACGTATAAAAGAAGAAGAATTAGAAAATATGTTGGCAGAAGCTGGTGGTAATATCTTTTACAAGTGTCAAACTCAGTTTAATACGATCACTGATAAGTATTTGGCAAGAGCAATAGAAAAGTTAGCAATAGATGCCACGAGAAGAGTAATAAATTATGTTAATCGGTATAAACAGGATAATCCAGATATGGATGTCTCTGTTAACTTAATAATCGAAGGTGTAAAGTTAGGTAAATCTAGACAAAACTTTATAATAACAGCAATGCAAAAAATCCCTAAACTGCCTAAACTTGGACATACAATTGAAATATGTGATAAAAAATATAAAACTTCAGAAGTGTACGAGAATCTAGCAAAAATGGATGATGGTACCACTGGCGAATACTGTAGTAAAGAAGGCAATGGTAGTGATTCAAGAAAGTCAAAGGACACATCAGGATCGACACAGATATCGAACGAGGACAGTCAGGAAGTGATAGAACAACCTGAGGAAGAACACAAGTACATTTTATCATTAGAGGAGGTGATAAAAGAAGCAAAAGAAGTATTAAATAAACTTTACAAAGAAGATGATTCGTTTTTAGGAAGAACATTAAAAAATGGAATGGAAAATATTAGTCAAGGGATTGATAAAGTGAATGATACAGCAAAAAGTACACAGGTAAGAAAACCAATTTATTACAATATGAAAAATCCAGTAAAGTCGTTCACTGGAAGAGGTAATGAGTTAATATGGTTACACGAAAAATTACAAAACAAAGATAGAAGAGCACTAATAACACAAGCGACTGCTGTTATTGGTCTGGGAGGAATAGGCAAGACTGAATTAGTTAGAAAATATGCTATAGAATATGCTGAACACTATAATAACAATGTTATATGGATAGAGTCTGCAACGGATGAAATTTTAACGTCGTTTAAAGACTTAGCAGTCGAAGAGTTGAAAATACCGATCAATGAAAAAATAGGTGAAAATATGCAAGAAAGACAAGTTAAATCTATCGTTAAAGATGTTTATACGCACTTTATCGACGTGAAAAGTCTTTTTATATTCAATAACGCCGAAGAGTACACAGCTATTGCAAAATTTTTACCAACCTCTTTACCTCCTAGTGCTGAAAGACCTTACATTTTAATCACTTCTCGTAATCGGGACTGGGATATAGGTTATGAGGGACAAATACATGTAATGGAATTAAATGTTTTTACTCAAAAAGAAGCTACGATGTTTATTAAAAATTCCATAGAAATAAAAGATGGTTTAAAAAAGGGAGACATAAAAATGTTAGCAAAAAGATTACAATACTTTCCACTAGCCTTGGGGCAAGCAATTACATATATCAATCAAGAGGAAAAGTCCAGTAGAAGAGGCGGTGAAAGATTTAAGATAAGCGATTATTTGAAAAAACTTGATAAAAACACAAAATTACTTAACGAGGGTTGCCACAAAATTAAGTACAGATATTCTGAAACAGTTTTAACAACTTGGCTAACTACCTTGAAAAAGATAGAAGAAGATGAAAATCATGGCATGAAAGCTATAGATATTTTAAATGTCATGGCTTATCTTGCTCCTGACAAGATTCATGCAAGCAAAATGTTTGATCGTGATGGCGTTGAGCTATGCGATAAATATTTAATGATTGATTTAAAAGAAGGGGGAGTGGCAAGTATTCACAGATTAGTACAGGAAGTAATAAGACTAATGTTGAAAGAGAAAAAAGAAGAAGAGGAAGTTATAGAAAAGGCTCTAACATTAATAGGAAATAATGAAAATATATGTAAAGAGAATACAAGTCATGTTACTTCTGTTTGGAACTATGCAAGTGGATATAGCAACTTAATCGATAAATTTTATTTCAATTCTAACTCTATTCCTACTTGCGGCTATAATAACGCTACCCCTTTGCATTTGCTCGCTGAAAATGGCAATGATGTAGCAGTTAAGGCTATATTAGACGAGGCTATACTAATGAATGATGAAAGATTTCCAGAGAAATTTAGTAAGATTATTGATGCTAAGGATAAGTATAACAGAACTCCTTTATATATGGCTGTTGAAAATGGTCACGCAAGTGTTGTTAAACTATTTGTAGATAAGAAAGCAAAAATTGATATTAGGTCTACTATTGTTTACGATTCTCTATCTACAAAAAAGGCTTCAGACTGGACGTTATTACACGTTGCTGCTTTTAACGGCTACTCAGATATCGTTACAATTCTTGTCAATACGAACAGAGGGCTGGTTGATATTAAGGATAATATTGGTAGAACAGCAGCAGTTTTGGCTGCTTCCACTGGCCAGATAGACACTCTTAAAATTCTAGAGCCTGAGCAATATAATGTATATTTATTGCATGCTAAGTTTCGTGCTGCTAGAAAAAGTGGCAACTTGGAAGATCTCAAGAATTTTCTAAACAACCTTGAGAAGAAACAACAACTACAGGATATAGTAAACGTGAAATTAGGAGAATGGGCTCCTTTGCATTTGGCTGCATTTGCTAATTGGCTAGACATTATACAAATTCTTATAACGAATAATGCCAAAGTTAAGGATGATGAACCTAGCTTCACACCCTTACACTGTGCCTCTTCCAATGGTCATTTAGACGTAGTAAAATATTTTGTACGGGAAACGAGAGCACGTCCTGAAGATATTAACGAAGATGGTTGGACATCGTTGCATGCCGCTGCTCAAAATGGCCATCTGGATGTTGTAAAATATTTTATAGATGAGTTTAAAGAAATTGATGTAGATATTAATGATAACTTTTGCGCTACACCTTTGCATACAGCTGCTTTTCATGGGAAACTTAATGTTGTTGAATTTCTCTTAAGTAGAGGAGCGAATATCGAAGCGGTTAATATATTAGGAGCAACACCTTTATTTATCGCTGCTATAAGCAATAACCGTGATGTTTATGACTTCTTGCTAAACAAAGATGCAACAGTGGTTAACACTAGCGATGATCAAACACTTATTGGTAGGCTTAACATTTCAGTGTTACACGTTGCTGCTGTATATAATGATAAACAAATGATTGAAGATTTGATAAATAAAGGTGTAGACAAGGATATTGGCGATGATATCGGCCTAACTCCAGTATGCTTTGCTACATTTTTCGATAGTTTGGAAGCTACTGAGTATTTAATTGCCAGCGGGGCTGCTACCGATGTACCTATAAATATTTCTTTTATAAAAAAAGTCCTTGAAGAAACAAAAAAAGGTAGTACTTCGAAATCTAGTAGTATGCCTAAATTTGTTAGCACATTGATTACTTTTGCCAATATCTTTGATAATGGCACAGAAATATCAGTAAATGACTTGAAGCGTACCGTTGAAAAATTATGTACTTCATTTCCCGATTTTCGACGGCTAATAGATAGTTTAAAGATATATCTAGAACAAAGGAAAAATCCAGATTTAGATCTTCCCTTGCACGCAGTATTTTTTACACAAAAATTTGACATTAATTATAACGATGGTGATGAATAATAGAACGTTTTCGAGTCAGTGGAGTATTTAGCGTAGATAATAAGACGCGGAAACTTCTCTCGAGGAACCATATCAGGCATCGGTGTTCGCGTCGGACCGCCGATAATCTAAACATTTCCCCGACATCGAACCGTCGATAATTGGGGTCGGTTAAGACCCTTCCTTGTCCACCAACCTTCTTCTTATCCAATCAGAAACAACGACTATTGCCCTCACTTTCCTAGCCAAAATTGTCATCAACAAATCCGATGGTCCCGTACGCTAGACACACCTAACATCGCTAACTTTCTTCCGCCGCAGCATCGTCACCGAACTTGACTGGATTTTCAGTTTTAAATCAGCGAACATCTCTGGACTGATTTTACATCCTTAGATCTCCTTAGTCGCATCTCTTGATCAAGTTCTACCCTTGGTTCAATCCCTAGTTAACTTATATCTATACGCATCAGCGTAACTATCTATGTCTATAAAGTTGTCGGAATAAAGCGTGAATTGCGACCTATTAACTCAGTGTATACTCGAAATATGAAAGATTGGATGAATTTGTTGAAAATATAAGTACTCCTTTAACTACTGTCTGGACTGAACGTATCGTTCTAAATTTGAAATTACGGCCGAATACACGCACTATACTTGGTTATACACGACCGTGATAGCGTTACAAATTTTGCTTACGATGCACGTGTCGAAAAAAGATAGAAAATCTCTTTATTATTTTGAATTTTTACACTTGACAAAAAGATTCACCAAATAATCTTTCATTAAAGTTGCACCAGGTATTACACGATAAATTAGATAAAATCGTAAACTAGATAATGTCGTTTTTCAGTAGTGGGTCCGGTTGAGGAATCTTTTCGTTGATTTTATCAACGTATTCTTGCATTACCTTCCAAAACTCTTTGTTCACCATATTTGTTATGCTTCTACGAAATATGGTAGTAATGGCTTTGGCCGCAGCGTTTACTATCGGATCATCTAGAAAAATGACGTTGATTTTACTGAAAACAAAATAAAGATTAATCGATTAGGACTAATTCGACATGCTCGAAAAATTGTGCACCACTTTCAAAACGATGGAAAGTTGTGCTAACGCAAAAACAAATGAGAATTACTCGATTTTAACGATCTTGGCCATAGGGATGACAATTTTATAGTTGTTCATATCGAATGCAATGATTAATCGCATCTCCATATCTCTGAGACGACCATGAACTTCTCCCTTCTTTGCGATCAACAAGTCCTTAATAAGATACTCGTAATTAGCCTAAAAAGTTGACAATTTTTTTGTTCTGTAACTTTCTAGAAATTATCGGGTTATGGTTGAGCCGTTCTCATCGGTTTATTCCCTTACGTCAAGAACGTCGAACGCTAAAGTAGCATCCAAAATGAGACTTTCATCTTGGTAAGATAAAATAATATCGTTTGCCCGTCTTACGTTCGATAGTCCTTGAAGCCAGCCATTCGTTAAACTCAGAGTTCTGTCGTGAATTATTAGTCCTGACTATAATAAGAGTAAAAGAATGATCGACGTTCAAATTCGAAGGATTTCGGTCAAGTTGATGGCATAAATACCAGTTTTTCAGATACATCCTCCAATTTCATCGGATCTAATCCTTGCTTCAAAATAAATTTGTGAATCGTGGGTAACATCGCGTCGAACAACTTATTAACATTAGCCGATACGTTCTCAGACATGATGTCGTTTTTCCTGTACACCAAAAACGTATAAACGATATTTCACAGCGAGGACATGTGTTAGCGAAACTGATTATGCGATCCGAATGTATATATGTGTTTATTAACCATAAACGTGCAATGGTAAAGACTTACCCGGCATCGAGAAGGTTCGCAAAGGCTGCAGTAAAAAAAATAGGCAGGAGAAGTAGGAAACCAAGTCGGATTTGAAAATCCATGACGAATCGATGCAGTCGAATGATCAGTTGTCAACAATCTGGCTACCGATCGTCAATTTTATCTACTTTTATTGAATTATCTAACGGCTTATCGAATTATATCGACATTATGACCTTCGTTCGAACAGTTGATCGAGCAACGATATAAATTATTATTTCGAATACGTTGATAACACGAGAATCGGATAGATACAATGATCGGCTGCATACCTTTTGAGTTTAAGTTGTTGTTGGGTAGATGATACATTTACACTGTACATGTGAATGTGTGTGTGTGTAAGCGTTAGAGGGCGCCAGGTCTTAGTTGAGACAAAAGACTGTCGCCAGATGTTAGAAGAATCTGGAAGAGTCGCTTGAGAACAAGCGTGCGTGCAAGAAGGTTATCGAGGTTTTCAGAGCGTAATATATATGTGTCGGAGATGAAAGGAAAACCGGAGCCTTCCCTTTGCAATTTTGAGGAAGCCTTCTAATGCTTTAGCCTAGATTTTATCATAACTGTAATTATGCAATTGTCATTTGTAATTGTTTGATATTTGTGAAAGCGAAAGTGGGTTCGAGGTGACAACTGGTCGCCGAACGTAGCCACTGTCACGGGATAAACGTTTTGTTTAAGGTGTGGATCGGTTGTATCGTTCTCCCTAGAAATCACATAGAATTGTACTTTAGAGATGTCGATATAATGGGACACACGTTGTATTAGGAATCAATCTCCAGACAGAAA